CACCAAAGGCAGTCTGCCTCCTTTCAAGATAAGTCCTTCCATGTCTTGGTTTATTATTATGAATATTATCTTCAACATTTTTTTAACTATACACAAATCATAGACAATGAAGGATAGAATGAATGGGAGAAGAACCCATGTATTCTTGGGAGAAGAATCTATGTATTCTGACACTCCAGGACAACATTGTACAATTACAATATTACATCGAAGAATTTTGGCTCTTTCATCTATTTGGCTCTATTAAGGGCTATTGCACTATAATTACGGACCATTTAATCCCTGGGTAAATTACTAGTGATTGACCGATTGTGCAAGTGCAACAATTGGAAATTACCGATTACCGATTATTCATGTCACAATCTACCAGATACCGATACTGATTTTACAATGACGTCATAATATTAGTCTACCGAATAAAGGTACGTGACATCATTCATGTCGATTTTTTAACGATATCTAATTTCCAATGTAACAACATCGTTACTGCAACCAAAGATCATTAAAACTGTTAATAAATGGCATGCTTCACACATTAATTTAACATATTGCATTAAAATGTGTAATCGTGTGTCAATGTGCAATGCATATAGTTTTTAAAGTGCACATTTTCTCAATAATCGGTTTTAGACAATTGGAAATATAAATAATTCTACCGATTCCGATTGTCTACTGATAAGGCAAAAATCGTGCCGATGCTGATACCGATACCGATTATCGGTCAATCACTATAAATTACCCCTTTGTCCTTCACTTCGTTTGAGAGGCGCTGTGTAATACTTCAGGCTTAAATACACTTTTTTTATACTTTTCATATAGGACGCAAGTGCTGCAGAGATACGGCGGGCATATCGCAAGTTATCACTCCATTTACATCCTGATAGAAGCGATGACCCTACTTCTGAGGAAAAATTTCGCCAGGTATGTGTTAGGTATATACAGTAAATAATCGTATTTACCTAATGAACTAACACATGTTTATGTCCATTATAACCACCCTAATTCAAATATTCAGATATTGAGATAACTCTCATGCCCAGTTACCGCATAACTTGATCCAAGTGGGGGGGTAGTGGCGAGCGGGACCCTATTTTGTGTTTAACTGTCGTTCTTCGTTCTATTTTCCCTAATTTTTTCCGTATATTTATCAGGGGTCGAAATTTAAATTTTTTTGTACTATACAGCCGAAATAGTAGATTTTTATATTTACTATTCCGTCTGAAGATCCACTATTCCTTAATGTACTGTTTCTGATTTTCATGAAATCATCCTTGAGACTCCTAAAGTGAACTGAATAATTGAATAACAAAAATAAACATGTACAGTGCATTGCTCTGTACGTATACAGTGATGAACAAATTATTAATAAAAAACAAAGTTCAAACACTGAAATGAACTTGCGAACTTTGTTGCGAAGTTCGCCCCAATTTCCAAACTTGGAAACGCAATTGGCAAGTTCCCAACGAACTTGGGAACCGTGCGTTGAAAAGTGACTTGAAATGGACAATATTGCTGCAAAGAAATTAGAATACGCAAGTACTGCAAGCGAACAAGAACTTTAGCCACGAAGTGGAACAGTGGCTCAAAGTCCGGTATAAAGTGATATACAGTCGAACCCCTATTAAGCGGACACCTTCGGGACCTCGCCTAAGTGTCCGCCTAAAAGGGGTGTCCGCTTAAAAGGGGTATGTAGAAAAACACAGCAGGAGGCAAAGGTGTGTAATTAGGTGTGTAATTTGAGTATCATCATGGCTGGCGGCTCACAGTCCTCCGTCCTCATTCGTCACTTCCTCAATAATCTTGGCTCTGATGTCTTCGCGCCAAGTTGGTGTGTCACTGTCAATGTGCCATGTAAATTGATCTCAATTGTTATTTACTGTCGAATATTGAATACATTTTATCAGACAATCTGTCATCTGTCCGCTTAAGAGAGGTTGATTTGCCCATTGGGACCTCCAGAAAGGTGTCCGCGTCCGTTAAAGAGGGGTGTCCGCTTAATAGGGGTTATGATAATAGTTTTTTATTAAAGAAACCAAATGGGACCTGAGATATGTGTCCGCTTAAAAGAGGTGTCCGCTTAAGAGAGGTGTCCGCTTATAGAGGTTCGACTGTATATATATATATTATTATAAGATCAGGAAAACCCTTGCTTGTCGATATTTGGTACCACAATTTTTTCTACTATACAAACGGAATACTGTGATCATGAAGTTTACTATTCCGTCACGTATTTTAGTATATTCAGAATAGCGGGAATTTAGCGGAAATTTCGACCCCTGTTTATCCACATTTCAGCTATCATTTTTAATGTTTACTTGGTGTCACTCAAATATATATATTTTTTCTTCCTATCCAAATCCATGTTTTACCGACTGGGATTGGCGACTACCTGATGACTGGGGGGG